GGATTGGCTTGCGACGATTGGCAACTTGTCCTCCAGACACGTGAGCCAGGATCTCTCACACTCTTTTCTAATTGAATTTTGACAATGATCTGATACTGACACTCATTTATACCTTCCGATCGGACCACCTTCTTTTATATATAGACTCACTTGACGGTATGAGTGGCCAAGATGGCCTCGATACGTGAGTCTCTCGACCGCGACGACCGCGAGGATGCCCCATTCCTCGATCCCCCCAATCCGAACACTCCCGGCCCGGCCCATCGTCATGTCAATAGCAAGCCTAGTATAGGCAGCCGCCCAGTGAAGGCCAATGCCTCCGCCAGCGCTATCAGTTTTCGGCTCAAGGCGACCCTATTCGCCATGGTCCTCGCAGTTGAAATCGGCTTCGCTTTCTTGGAGGGCCCCATGGTCCGGATCATGGAGTCTATCGCTTGTCGCCAGTATTTCCTGGGTGTGGATCCGACTAAGATCGGGGCGGATGGACAAGTGCCGGAGGCCATGTGTAAGATCGGGGAGGTGCAAGCTGAACTGGCGGCTGTGAAGGGTTACCATATGTTCTTTGATGGGTCACTGAGTAGGTTGATTTGAATACCCAAGGCAAGACAATTGTCTAATTGTTTTGCAGGCGCTCTTTTGGCGATTCCCTATGGTCTGCTGGCAGACCGTCGTGGCCGCAAATCTACACTCGCTTTGTCTCTTCCCGGGTTTGGCTTGAATGCCATCTTTACACTCGTTATATTGTGGTTCTCGGACATCTTTCCTCTGCGTGCCCTTTGGCTTACAGCCTTGACATGGTTGTTTGGGGGTGGTCCGGTGGTCTCTTTTGCGATTATCTGGACTATGATGGCCGATGTAACGAGCGAGGCCGAAAGGTATGCTAGCCCTCCAATTTGGGCATGGGTTTTATCGATGCTAATACAGTGGCACAGAGCGGGCATCTTCTTTCAATTCGCCATCGTATCGATGGGCGCCGACTTCGCTTCAAGTGCTTTTAGTTCTTATCTCATGACCTTAAATCCCTGGATACCATTGGTGATTGGATTCGCAATTGTAATGGCCGGCATGATGCTCATTTTGGCGCTACCGGAAACGAAGCATGCACTGCCACCTCGGAAGCCTGAACCAACTCATGTCGAGCTGTCAGATCTGACAGATGGCGCCCCCGAACCAAAGCATTCTTTACATAATCTCAACGAACCAGAACCATATCGCGAAGAACCCGACATGAATGGTGATCGTGAGAACGAACCACCCTCTTGGAGTATCCCATCGTACTCCCATCGATCTATTCTCGCAAAATTCCGCGCAAATTACCGCTTTTACCTTAGACCCTACCGGTTCATCCTCAACAGAACACCAGTGCTCCTCCTTCTCACTGCATTCCTGGTTTACCGCCTGAGCCGAGGCTCATCCTGGTTTTTGACGCAATATATATCGACACGTTATTCATGGACACTGGCACAGTCCAACTTCCTGGTATCTGCTCGCCCGACCGTGTCAATCCCGCTGTTCCTCTTCGGCCTACCATTCCTCAAAAGCCGAGTCCTGAACCCCCGGCTTTCCTCGACAGAAAAAGACCTCTGGCTAGCGCGCCGCAGTATATTCTGTCTTACTGTTGGAACCCTCGGAATCGGCCTCTCCCCAACCGTCGCGACCCTGATCCCCAGCATGATCATCCAGACCTCAGGATCGGGCTTCGTTTTCCTTGCCCGCTCCATCATTACCACTTTGGTTGAGCGTGATGAGACAGCTCGCTTGTTTACTGCGATTGAGATCATCCAGTCGTTGGGAAATGTGGTTGCGAGTTTATCCATCACGACCGTCTTTCAGATTGGGTTGCGTCTCGGTGGGATCTGGATTGGTCTCGCGTGGATGATGACCAGTACGCTCTTCTGCTTAGTCGGCGTCGCCATCTGGACTTTTAAACTGCCCCCAAGTCCTCCGTCACCGGACCTTATGGCGGAGGATTATGACGGGGATGACAGGGCGTGATCTCATAGATCTTGTATACTACTCATAGCTTCCGTGCGCATTTAGAGCGTTTCTTTTTTTCAGTATTATTATATAATATATAGCTATGTATGAAACTAACCAAACAAATATCCCATAACCTATATCGCATTCATTGATGTGTCTGTCCCTCGCTTGCTCTTGTACTCCAGGAAAGACGCGTTGATGCCTCAGGAACCATATCACGTGGCTGCTCTTTTCGCATGTGAATATCATCAGCTTGTCCACCCGATTCCACTCTTAGCCCCGAGATTGAGTGGCGACTTGTGCTGCCGGCGCATCCCTAAATAGGCACTTGTTTAGCGCATGGCGTGGTGTCAATGATTGAGCCCGTATAACAGCTCATTCTGCCTAAAGCTGCCATAACACGAGATGGAGAGATACTCTCAGTTCCGGGATCGAGGTGGGTTTCCGCTGTGATAACCAAGCCCTGCAAGTACATTTTTACTGACATCTCCCAGGCTCGGGCATTGCGCCATTCCTCCCAATCCCGGTTGAACCACTCGGATTTCAAGCCCCCCTTCGCATTTTCCTCTTCTGCTTCCGCCTCCCGCTCTTCATCTTCGTCACTCTTAGCTATTTTTTGATCTTACAATGGCTTCCTATCGGATCGCTGGGCAAAAAGGCTGCTCTGTGGTGTATCCTTGGAGTTCCCAGCATCTGGTGGATTGATCTCCAAGTGGACGGAGTGCGCAAAGGGTTCGTGCTGCACCATTGGAACTATAGCCTGTTCCGCTGATAACTAACAGTTCCGACACAGGTCTTTGAAGCAGCAGCAAGCGCGTCTGCCACAGCCGGGATCGGTCATCGCCTCGTCCTTCACATCACCCATTGATGCTGTATACCTGGCAGCTATCTTCGACCCGATCTTCACAGCGTCCTACCCCAACACTCGCCAGGTGGAGCGCATCTCTCTGCTCCAAGCCATTCTGCGAGCCTTCGCTTTCCCCTCCACGCAGCCGGCCCCTGGTGCTGAGATGGTGGACGTCTCCACACTGGTCGAGAAGTACCCCAACAGCCCGATTGTATTGTTCCCAGAATGTACCACCACCAACGGTCGCGGCATCTTGACCCTGAGCAACTCCCTTCTCGGCGTGCCTCCCAAGACCAAGATCTTCCCCGTCAGTCTGCGCTATACGCCTATGGATATCGTGACCCCCATCCCTGGGAGTTATATGAGCTTGCTGTGGACGCTGCTTAGCAAGCCGACCCACTGCATAAGAGTGCGCATCGCGGAGTGCGTTACGAATAGCCAAACGGCGATTGATACGTCTTCCTCTCTGTCAACTGGGAAGTCGACATATAATACGAATTACCTGGACACACTGGACCAAAGCGGACAAGAACAACAGGCCTCGGGCAGCGAGAAGGCACTGCTGGATAATGTAGGGGAGTCGCTAGCCCGTCTAGGTCGGGTCAAGCGGGTAGGCTTGGGAGTGAAAGAGAAGCAAGAGTTTTCACGAGCTTGGAGTCAGAGTCGTCGGACATGGTGACCTCGATACATAGATAGTATTTCTTTCGGTATATTTTAGATATTCAACTCAAACACATTGTGTCTTGCCAATACCGCGGATTGAATCCGGTTTGCTAGGCACGGAATTTATGGTAGAGGATGGATCTTGCTTGACGAGGATCAATACGACGGTTTTTAGGGGCCGTCACCCTTTAGCTATAGCCCCAATAAAGGGAAGAAAACAATAAATATAAAAGAAGTCTAAGAAGGAGCATGTAAAAGACGACTGAAAAAGACCACCAAAAAGACATAACAAGGCTGTATAAGCGGCTAACTATTCCAAGGTTCTTGTATACTACGTTGAAGGTGACGAAGGCCTGCCGTGATGGTCCATAAAAGCCCTGGATCAATATTCGAATCGGGGCTTGGGGAAGGGTACATCTGTATCTTCAACGTAGTGGCATGCCGATTGGACTTGGGAACAGTTGGTTTTTAATTAGACTACTCACGAATATTGTGTACCCTCTCCTTTTGCAGGTGAGCTGAGCCTCGGAAGATCGAATGGATCATAATATCACCCTGAGATGAGCAAACGAAATTGCCTCGACATTCGAGACTGAATCAGTTCCATATCTGATATGGTCTTCTCGTCTGAAGCACTATGTTTGGACTACGCGACGTGGTACCGTTTAGATCTCTCTGTGTTTCTCTCTGTCTCTCAGCTCCTCCCTCTCTTCCCGTCCTGTTTTACCTTCCACATCATAGATCCGAGGGCACACTTTGCGGAGACCAACGATGCTTCTAAAGCCACTCTTTTTGGTAGTGGGAGCCGCATCGGTGGCCCTTGCTGCCTCCAATGAGCCATTGAGATCATGCTTCGAGAATGCGATCACAGATCGGGGGAGCTTTGCCTTTGCCGGGGACCTGTTCTACGACCGCATTGTGAATCGTTACAACCTGAACATTCCCGTTACTCCAGCAGCAGTGGCTTTTCCTACGTGAGTATTCTTGAAGAGAATGATGCATTGCGTTCCTTTCTGATAGACCATAGCTCTTCTCAGCAGGTGGCTGATATAGTCAAGTGTGCCGCGGAGAACGGGTATCCAGTCCAAGCCAGAAGTGGAGGGCATAGCTATGGCAATCACGGTGGGATTCCAAACCATATTATTTTATATTACCCCAGATGAGTTTGACCTAAAGACTAACATGCTATATATGACAGGTCTTGGAGGAACTGACGGCGCCGTTGCGGTTGACTTGAAGCATCTCAAACACTTCTCCATGGACAATACAACTTGGCAAGCAACAATTGGGGCGGGGAGTTTGTTGAGTGACGTGACACGGTGGTTGTACCACGCTGGAGGACGGGCTATGTCTCACGGGATCTGTCCTCAAGTCGGTTCGGGGGGACATTTCACAATTGGTGGTCTTGGTCCGACTTCGCGTCAATTCGGTGCCGCAATTGATCATGTTCTGGAGGTTGAAGTCGTTCTCGCAAACTCGAGCATTGTCAGAGCATCTGACACGGAAAACCAGGACCTCTTTTGGGCTATCAAAGGTGCTGCCTCGGCCTACGGTATCGTCACGGAGTTCAAGGTCCGAACTGAGCCTGAGCCTGGTACTGCGGTACAGTATACATACAGCATGGAATTTGGCCACCCCAAGAAGCAGGCGGCCCTTTTCAAGAGCTGGCAGGCCTTCGTGTCAGATCTGACGTTGACTCGAAAGATGGCATCCACTCTCACTGTGCTCGAGAATAGCATGGCAATCAGCGGTACTTTCTTCGGGACCAAAGAAGAGTACGATAACATGAACCTTAGCAACAAGTTCCCCGGTGCAAATGGCGATGCATTGGTTTTTGATGATTGGTTAGGACTTGTTTCCCACTGGGCCGAAGATGTTATTTTGGAGTTGGCAGCTGGAATCCCAACAAATTTCTACGCAAAGTCAACTTCTTGGACTCCTCAGACCCTGATGACCCCAGAGACTATCGACAAAATGTTTGACTACATTAGTACCGTCGACAAAGGTACTTTGGGCTGGTTCCTGTTGTTCGATTTTCAGGGAGGTTATATCAACGACATCCCGACTAATGCTACAGCTTACGCCCACCGTGACGTGCTCATCTGGCTACAGTCCTACACAATCGATCTCTTGGGACACATCTCCCAGGCCCAGATCAGCTTCCTCGATGGGCTTAACAAGATTGTCACCAATGGTGAACTTCCCTTCGCTGCCTACCCGGGTTACATTGATCCTCTTATGCCCAATGCCGCCGAGGCATACTGGGGGACCAATCTTCCCCGACTACAGCAGATCAAAGAGCAAGTTGATCCCAACAATGTGTTTCGCAATCCACAGAGCCCATCTCCTGCAAAGAAGGACTCTTTCTGACAAGCCGTCGGGTCTTCTACATTCAGAACTACGTTGAGCAGTGATAGTCACCGCATTTTTGTAAAATCGTTTAGCAACATAGTAATCGGACTTTGATTTAGTCAAGAAGACAACATTAACCTTTTGGTTTGTGTTTGTATTCGTATCTCTATTCATTCCCGCTTTTCTGCTTCGCCGCCCACTCTTCACTCTGACGAGACGTCCATTCCCAACGAAGCGCCCACATCTCTCGATACAACTTCTCCGAGCACTCCGAGCACATTCCCGCCTTTTGATGAAGCCTATCTTCGGGAATTCCAATGAGGCCAATATTGAGAGCTCGGAAAACACGCCCTGTGCATCGCTCTCGTCTGAAAAAGGGCATGCCGAACTCTTCACAACGTTCAATTCGTCCGAAATGAATGCAGTTGCACATTGTCCACAGGTTATAAGTCTGTACGCACATTTTGAGGGTGCTTCTCTTGCAGCTTAAGTCAATGGAATGAACGCAGATATTGTATAGTATACTTGGGTTTTCTGATGCTTCAGATTTTGAGGCTGGCGATCTTAGGGATATATGTAGAGGACCTAAATGGACGGTTATACATCCGTGGAGGTAAAAGCCCAAGATAGAAACTGTAAAACATTCATTGGCCTTTGAAGGCTTTGGTCTTTTAGTCCTTTACTTTGTTTCTTTAGTGTGTTGCTTTGAGCTGGTCTCTGTTATTACCGAGACCCCAGGTCAACAAAGAACATTGTTTCAGACAGCAATTTCCAGTTACAGCAGTATTCCATATAGTAAGGCGCGGAATATTATCGAAAAGGTTAAATCGATATTAGTACACCCAATAAGCGTGAGTGAGCAAGCCGTGAATATCAAAATATCAAATGGGTATTTCAGAAGCTTGCTAACGGGCATAAAAGCTCCATACATATTATGATACGTCATGAGCGTTTGCTCAAAGCACCTCTAGCCAAGTCATCAATGTGACGGGAATACAAGTCCATAAAGTGCATAACAGGGTCGCCAAAAACCACTCCTCGTAGCTCAGGGTCTGTAATCCCGCAGGCATCCACATTTTCTCGCGGTGGCAGTGCAGGAGGTCCACCAGGGACTGGTGGCGCCGTAAACATGGGGCGGCCGCTCCATTGGTCT